ATCAGCCTGCTGCTGCCCCAACTCGTTTGAGAGCAGGTGCCTGCCCAGAGCTGGTCCTGGAGACCCAAGAAGGGTCTCACGATTCAGACCCTCACCATCTACTTGCCACAGACTACATAGGAACCATGCCCAGAGGGAGGAGGGGGCCTGTGGAAACAAGAGGCGGGTACAGGTGGGGGTGGGGGGGCCACCCCATGTCTTGGCATCTCCCTGCCCCCACCCTCCAGGTAAACTACTGCACACTGCTCTTGTCCTCCATGGCGGACACACTGGCCCCGGGTGGTGCCTACTGGAGTAAGTGCATCCAGGGCATTGGGGAGTGTGGGCAGGGCTCTGCTTCACAACCTGCTCTTCAAGCCTCTGGTGCCCTCACTGGCTTCTGCTCCTGGGCAGTGCACATGCCAGCCAGCCAGGACACAAGGCCTTGGGATCCTCCAGATTTCTGAGGCCCTGCCTGGTGCTGCCTTGTCTCCATATTCATCTTGCTCAGGGCTGTCTCCCAGGGACATTCTGTGGGAACCTACTCTAAGACCACCACGTCCTAGCCCTCATCTCCTTGGTCTGCCCAGGCTGGCAGCTGAGGAAGGGCCTTTTTTCCCACCAGGATCTCAGAACTGTGGGGGCAGGAACTGGAAAGCCCCTTTAGGCTACAGAGGTGGTCCTGGTGGCCAGGAGCACCCAGAAGCTGTCCAGCCTCAGACACCTGAGCTACATGACCTGCCACACCACAAGCCCACCTGTCCTGGAGCCCCAGGCCTGGCTCACCAGTAACCATCCATCACCACCTCCATGGAACTCCCAGAGAGAAGTGGCCTTCCTGGCTAATCACAGACCACCTGTACATGGACATTTTCCTTACAAAGATGAGTCAAATCTCTTGGCACCTTCCTGGGACCCCCCAGGGTGACACGGAAGTGTTGTGAGGTGGCTCCCCTGGCAGGAAGAATTGTGTCCCCATCTGGAGCCTCAATGGCCTGGACTAAGCAGCAACCTTTGACAAAGCACCTGAAATGCGGACATCTGTCCAGGTTGGGAAGTTGCTTTGGGGCCTGCTCTTATCCCAGCTTGCTGATGACAGGAACCTTTCTTTGAAATGCTAGTTGTTACAATTTCTGTTAAGATCCAAATGGCCCTTAGGGCCAGGGATTTAGCTCAGTAGTGCCACCGCCTGCTTTGAAAGCGCAAGGTGCCGAATGCAATACCCAGGGCCAAAACAAAGAGATCCAAATGGCCCATCAGGAGTCACCCGAGCAGTTATGTGGGTAGGGCTGAGTGTCCACTCTATCAACTCTACCCCCTCTTCTCAATAGCTGGCACAGTTCAGGCCTGCAGACCCACTGGCAGTGCCCCAGGAAAAAAAACCCCAATGGGTTATATTGTGCTCTAATGCTGTTTTCAGTGGAGTGTAGGAACATATCCACTTGGCCAGAAACATAACGCAGGACTACCTCAGGCACTCAGGGATTATGCCATCAGTAGAACTGGGGACAGGGACAGGGCTTACCTTCCCTATAGGGATGGGGGTTTGAGCTCCCTTGCTGGTTCTTTCTTCAGAGACCTCAGCCCTGGAATGGAGTCTGCAGAGACAGTGCCAAATGCTCAACAGCACAGCAGGATGGCCTAAGCCCAAGTCCCTGGGCCCAATCATGAGATGTGGCCCACCCATGCCTGCCTTCTCTGCAGCCCCAGAGGACCACTCTTGTTCCCTACAGCCCAGCTTGGGTAGGGATAGGCCCATGGTACCAGCAGTGCCCTGCCCAGGGACGCTGATTCTAGGCAACACAATCCTGAACACTTGACAGGTATCCATCTTTGTGCAGCCTGGGCTGGGCACCAAGGTACCCACCCAGGGTCCCTGTGGTTGCCTGCTCACATCCCAGCCTTCTTACATGGCCTGCTACACAAATTCTCCTGTCTCGCAGTGTGTACAAGCATAGGCTGATGCTGTCCACCCAGATATGCCAGGGGCCCAGAGCTAGATGCTGGGCCATGAGTAGCACCCTGGAGAGCATCTAGTTTTTGCAGCCCCCTGTCTTCAGGATAGATCTGCAAGTGACAGATGCAGGTAAAAAAACCTCAAAGCAGCCCTATGTGAGGCTGCTAAGAGTCAAGCGTGGGGATGATTGTGGCACAGAAAGGCCAGAGAGAAAAGCCAAAGTCCCCTAGCTACAGACTGCTTTGAAGATCTTGGGTGAGCAGGTCCCAGGCAGACACAGAACTGGAGAAAGACCTAAAATCTTTATTTCCCCCACCATGAACACCAGGGAACCAGGACTTCTGGTGTCCCTGCCCAACCCTACCTCTCGGCCAGGTCCAGGAAAGGTCTCTGTTTTAGAGATGGATGCCCAGAGCTACTGATGCCTCCTACAGGTAGCCCACTGGCTTCCTTCCAGAGGGGATGGTCCCTCTGCCATCCCAGTGACAGTGACTCTGGCTAGCCCTGCCTGCAGCCTGGTGGGGAAGTCAGGCTGGGTGTTCCTTCTCAGACCCCAGACCCTCGGGGCTTCTGCCCCTGTTGCGGAAGTGCTCTCTGCTTCGCTTCTTGCTGACATGGAAGCCAACTGTCTCTGCCCCTGGGGGGCCTGGTGAGGAGCCAGTGTAGGTAGCCCCTGAAGGCATCGCCACCTCATGCAACTCCTGGGGGCTGCTCCATTCCTCATGCTCTGGGCTTCCAGGCCCTGCCAAGTGGGTCAGCTCTACAGGACCCTCACCCCCCAAGTCCTCTTTCATCAGGGCCCTCTTCCTCTCAGGTCTGGTCTCACTGGCCCGGGATGGCTTGGTAAAGACTACTCGTCCTTTACCACAACTGGAGGGATCCTGGTTGAAGGAAGGTGTATAGTCAGCGGGGACTGCAGGGCTCCGTGAGTCCAGGAAGGCCAGGGCAGCAGCCTGATTGCTCTGCTCAGTGGCCTCTGCAACATCCTCCAGGCTGTATTTGGTCCAGCGCTCAGGGTGTGCCACATAGTCAGGGATACGGGCCACCCTTCGGGAGTCAGGGCTCCCATGGGCCTTGCCTAGGCCTCCTACTACTGGAGGCTGGCTTGAAGGTGCCAGGGGCCGCTTGAAGTCACCATTGTCACTTATGTTGCTTTGGGCTGCAGGGGGTGGCACCCTCCTGGCTGCCCCTTCCAGACAGTCAAAAATGTTGTGACTTCGCTGGGAGAAGGTAGAGCTCATGCCTCGGAGGTGGAAAGGCTGCACTGCTGTGGTGGGAGTGCCTGTGGGGTGAGAAGGGGGCTCTTCCAGATCTGGGGCCTCCCCAGGCAGTACTTCTGGGGACAGTGATTCCACCTCAGCACCACCTGGCCAGCTGAGATTAGAATCAGAGTCGCTGAGAGAGATGGAGTCAGAAGGCAGGGTTTCATACTCTGTCACCTGTTCAGTCTCCGAGTCAGGGGAGGGCTCACCTGCTCCCGCTTTAGCCATGTTTCCCCAGGGCACACCACACCAGGAATTTGTCTGTGAAGAGAAAAGTGTTTAGAAAAGGTCCCTCTTGCAGATCCACCACCAGGCCTGGGCACGTCAGCAGAAAAGAACTGTGTCCTACAAAGCACGGGCCCTGGCCGCGAAGGCCCTTCTCTCACCTGGTCTGCTGTGTGCCTCTGATGCACGGTGGAGCCTGGCTAGTTGGGCCTAAGAGCCCTGACGCTGGTCCTCAGTGGTAAAGTGTGTTCTCAGGCCCAGGGGTGAAGCTGCTTGCTGGGCAGGGCCTGGCAGGGGACAATCAACCATTAGATCGCACCACAAACACGCAAGAGGTACAGACCCGGGAAAGCGAGAAGTCCTAACACAGGCCAGGCACTACAGCAGGTGCTTTTGGCCCCTACATACTTGATGCCCACAATGGTCTCCACATAGGCGTAGCACAGCCAAGTGGCCTACGTGAGGCTCGCTGCAGCTAGCAGCAAGGAGGATGCAAAGAACTAACGTAGTTTTGCAAGGTAGGTACGTAACAAAAGCCGGGCGTTCCGGGCCTGACACACAGCCTCCCGGTGCGCTCGTGAGGGAGAATGGCACCCCCGCGCCTGCTTAGAGGAAGTGGGGGACTTGCCCAGGCCGCCACGTTGACGCTGCAAGGCGCGGCGGCCAGCGCTGACCGCTCCGATGCCTGTGTCCTCAACGCCTGAGCTAACCCCTTCGGGACGCCACTCCTCGCGGCCGGAAGCCTGTTCCGGAACTAAAAATACGGGCCGTGTCCCCGCCCACACACGCACGGCCCTCTGGGAGGCCGAGTCCTATGCTGCCCTCGTGCTGCGGTTTCCGGGCCCGAAGAACTACAGCTCCCGCTGAGTACCGGGTTGCCGTCCGCAATTAGACACAGACGTGCCGTCAGTCCGCATGCGCTCGCACCGCCAACTACCCCCACTTCTGGTGTCTGAGTACGCCCAGGAAACCATTGCGGCTTTAACCAGAGGAAGGGGCGGAGCCAAAACTCCGAATCCCACAATGCTCTAGGGCTTTCGGTCTGCAGTGGTTCTGGCGCCACCTGCCGGAAGGCATGAGAACAGAGTGCCTCAGACAGGAAGTGCGTCATCGCGCACGGGGGCAAGAACCTTTTCCTTGTCGCTTCAGTTTCTGGCGGGAACTGTCACTCCTGACGCCTTCCGTCAGTCTTTCTTCCGGAGTGGGGCTGACTAGGCCAGAGACCCTGGGTGGACTCGGAGATGCCTGGCTCTCCTCATGCCAAGGGACCTTCTGGGCCTTGGTTCAGACTTCTGTGGAGGCTCGAAGCTTTTTCTCCCAGGGTACTGGCCCAGCCTGTTCAAGGCAGATGGTAGGCCAGCTACCCCCTGAAAACGTGCTCCACAGGCCTTATGCCCTTGACCAGTAGGCCACATTCCTTCTCTGCCCAGGTTGCCTTAGTTCTCCTCTGCTGCTGGACAGCAAATCTAACACTGAAAAGCTGGAGAGAGAACTCCCAATCCAAGGGGCTGCCATCTTGGTATCCCCTGGGGAATCATGATCCAAGGACCTGTTTTTTGCCCTGCTCTGAGACAAAGGAGATGCTTCCCTCAGCCTCCTGATCTTCTGTATGCCTTTTTGTCATATCTTACTCCCTTCTCACAACCTTGCCAGGAATGCATGGTCTTGCTTCCAGAAGTCCAATGTGAAGATGACACCCAGGCCATTAGGCAAGAGCCTTGGCCAGATGTCCCTGGGGCTTTGGAGCACAGGGGGAAGTGGACAGGAGGAGGCTCCTTGGGCCATTAACAGACCCAGCCCAGATGGAGGAGGGGAGGGGAAGATGTAGTTCAGTGGCAGAACAATTGCCTAGTATGAGGGAGACTCTGGAAAAAAACCCAAAAATACAAGCCACCCTTCCAGACAGGAGAAAGGCTGTTGAGACCCTGGGTAGGGGTGAGAGACAGACAAAGGAAGTGTGGACAGAGCCCACTGATTGTTAAAAGATGAGAGGGAAAAGTTGGTGGGGGGAGGGGTTGCCTGAGGAGGTCACTTGGTCTCAGAGCCTCACTTTAGCGGACTGGGTAGGCTTCCGGGTAGCGGGTAAGTTTCTTCCTTGCCAGCTCTTTCGAGATATGCCTGAGCACTGAGCCACCCAGCTCAGTGAAACATTTACAGGCATCTAGACAAGCAGGGAAAAAACTTCGAAATGCTCCAGAGGGAGCAGTGCATCCATTCACTGTGTGTCCCTTGTGAAGAAGGGGGAATGTCTTGCAGCCCCACCCCCAGCACATCCTCTACCAAATTCCCTGGCTGCCCCCTCTTGCCCCTCTGGACAAACACACCCATGAGTTTAGGTAAGAGGTCAAAGCTGGAACAGGCATCACAGAGCCTATAGTGGCACCTACCACATGGGAGAGTTTCCTGAGCGTCTAGTCCTATCTACTGTGGCCAACAGCCTCTCTTAAACTGGTTCACCCCAGGCCTGAAAAGTCCAGAGCTGAGTAATACCCATGCCAGGCTCCCCTGTCCCTTCAGCTACCCCTTGGGTCTTGGCTGCTCTGGCACAGGAAGGGGCCCCACAGTCTTGTTAGCATGCCTGATTTTCCTTCTTTATTAAATGTCTGTTTCAAGATGTAATTACAGTTGAAGGTGACATGTTAGAAAGGACAGGTGCATTGAAGGCATAAGAGTGCTCACAGACCCAGCTCTTAAAATAGGGACAGGAGAAGAACAAGGATTAAAAAGGTGAGCCATGCAGCCCACAGAATGGGCCAAGAGTGGGCAGACATAGCCCCCCAGCTTGGCTATGCCCAGCATCCAGGCAAGTGGTCTCTGGGAGATGACAAAGGGCCCAGAGACACCCCAAAACTTGGGCCAGCTCTACCCCGACACACGCCACATACCAGTGACGCCAGCTCCAAAAAGTAATAGGAAAGTTCAGAATGAAAACAAAACCTCAAAGGTAAAAAGGCTAAGTGTAGCAGAGTAATACCGGAAACATTATATACACAGGCAGCAATGCCTGCAGCAGCCTCGGGGTCACTCTGGGGGCACTGCAGGGATCCCAGCAGCTGGAACTGCAGGGCCTCAGTACACGGAGCTGTTCCGGATACCACAACACAGCACCATGCTCAGGATCATCTCAAAGATCTGTGGGAGGAGAAGGGCAGTCAACAGCAGAGACAAGAGAGGGGCAGAGCAGCTGAGCTGAGGCCCTGTTTCACCCCACTCACCATGATGACAGCAACCACTATGGCTGCGATGCCAATGAGGTACAGCTTCCCGGAGAAGAGTTCGTCGATCTTCTTGTGGCAGTCATCCTGCAGGGGTGGCCAATGGGTGGATAGGAACTGGCCTCAGTTCTAAAGCAGAGAGAACTCACAGCCCGCCTGAGAGGTGGTGCAGTGGCCAGACCTCTGCCCAGGGACCTTCCACTGATTTAAAAACACAGGATCTACTGCCTGGACCCCTTTCTATCTTGAGGTTATGATTATTGGTATCACTGGTGCCCTAGTCACTGGTTTGATAGGTGTTCACGGAGGATGATTTCTAAAGGGTGCTATAGCACACCAGCTGCCAGGAAGTCAGAACCCTGCGTGCTCACAAATATGAGTAGTGTTGAGTCTCCCAGATATCATGAGGTCCACCTTCCTTTGGGCCTTGTACACAAGTCCCACCCAGCCTTCCAGCACAGCAGCCCTGACATGGGCCTTAGTTCTATCTGACTTGCCCCACACAGGCACCTGTGTGGCCCACCCAGAACCCAGGACTCTCTGGTGTGTGGAGACCCTGTTTCTGCCCCACCACCCACTGCTGTTCACCTTCCATAAGGTATTTATGATGGTGGTGCCTGAGGGACACAGGTTGTTCTTCAACACCGAAGTGGACAGCGCAGTCAGTGTGTTGGAGCCACAGCAGTTGAGCTGCAGAGATCAAGAGCACTGTCATCTCACCAGAAAATGGAGGAGAAAAGGCTAGGGTTAAGGATATGCATTACACTGCTATCCCAACATGCACCTGGACCAGTCAGATAGATTGCTCAGACATCCCCCACTGGCCAGGTCTAAGAGGATCTGGTCACAGAGGAGACCCCCCCCCGCTGCCATATCCTGAAGTCTGGGCTGAGGCAGGACTCTTCTAAGAAGGCACACACCCCCACCCAGGTCTGCAGCCCATCCCTGCTGCTCCAGCCCAGCCAGCCACACCGTCTCATGGAAAGTCTTCACCACAGCCTTGGCATTGTTGGCTTCATCATCCACCACAGCCTGTTGCAGAGCCTGGTCATAGAACTGCTTCACATCCTTGGCAATCTGTGAGAGAGGCAAAGTTACAGACAGCAGGGACCAATCCAAGGGCAGAGCCCTGTCCTCTGAGCACCACCTATGTATTCAGCCCCAGTGCTAGCTCCTCCATAAAGCTGAGATCTATCTTCCAGGCAGAACCCAAGGGGAGTCCAAAGAGCCCCCGAAAACCATGGGCTAAGGTGACCCATGACCAACAACCTGGGCAGTGCTCCAGTGGGCTAACCTGGTCCTTGTTGACGAAGCCCCAGATGCCGGCAGCCACCTCACAGGCAAAGAGGATCACGAGGCAAGTGAAGAACTGAGAGCAGGGAAAAAGAGGGTAGCTGTGAGCAGGGCCCAGGCCAGCATGGGGCTGCCTTATACAAAGGACAGGCCCACAGGACCACCAGGTGTGGAGGAAGAAGCTGGCAATACCTGCCAACCCAAGTCCCCATCATGAATAAGCTACGTAGAGCCATGGAGGACAGAGCCTGAGATGCAGCCCTGGCAGTAAGATGTTGGCATATTCATCCTCCCCACATCGCCTGCCTGCACAGGATGGCCAGCTGGAGCAGGGAGGATGGGGCAGGGTGTGTGGGGAATGTCCACAGGTGACAAGCCCAGGTAGCTGCAGCCCCTAGGCCAATGATGGTGAACCTTTTAGAGTTTTCAATGATACAAACAGCCTGCTGCAGCAGGCATGCCATAGATTTGGCACCACTGCCCTAGGGAGAATTGACACAGCTACCCCCACCCAAACTGACCAGACTCTGGACAGCACAACTGGGCCTCAGCTTCCTGCTGACAGATGATGTGTCCAGGGACATCTGATGCTGGCCTCAGAGTTAGATTCAATGCCTATGACATTTATGTCTTCGTGTGTGTATGTGTGTGTGTGTGTGTGTGTGTGTGTATGGCTTTTTTTAAAGAAAGAAAAAACTCTCTTTGTAACTTAGCCTTGGGTTCTAGACATGATGGACATCAACCATAATGGGATTTAATTTAAGACAGCAACAGAAAAACCAGGAAGCCAAAATTCTGGGAAGATGTTAAGGCTGCCCAGTGATCTCTGGTACAGGCTGGGGTGGCTCAAGTGCCACAGCCAAGGCCTGCTAGGCTGAACTGAAGCCCCTGGGTCTGTCCCAGTGCCCACTCTGGCCACCTACTCCTTTGGCCTGCTAGATCCTACTTCCCAGAGCCATCCCAAAACCCACTGACCTCCCAACCTTACCGTCCCAAGCAGACACTGGGACTCCTGGATGGCCCCATAACAGCCAAGAAAACCGACGAACATCATCACAGCCCCCACAGCAATGAGGATGTAGATGCCTGTGGGGGTGAAGGGCCCAGGTGAGTGGCACATACACACTGTGCCCAAGACATTAGGGACTGAGGCACTGGCACCCAGTACTAGCTCGCTCCACCTGGCCATGTGAGCCCTGTCTGTGCCTCAGTGTCCTCTGCCATGCATGGGAAGGGACAACTATGCTGAGTGGAGGGTTAGATGACTCTTAAGTGCCCAGATATCATTGTTGACAGTACTTCACAGAGATTTTCCACAGTGGGGCCCCGCACCCACCACCTGTGCCTGCTCCCAAATCCCTCAGGACTTGTAAGGAGCTGAGAGGGACCACATCATTTTAGTTTGTCAAGTAACACACCAGGAGCTACATGGTGGACCCAGATGTTGGTAGTTGGGAGGGGGGCTGTGCAGGAAACCCCAGTATTGATTTGTGAATGGGAATGAGGTGAAGTTCCGTGGTGGCCACACAGCAGCCCCACCCCACCTATCCTGGCCTTAAGGACACCAGCATTTGCTTTGGGGTGCTCTGTGTGGTTGTACGGGATGGGGAGGCCCTCAGGCAGGAGTCTGGTATGTGAGGTGGCCAGATTCATGACAGGACAGCTTGAGACTGTGCCGGGGCCAGGCCACCCTCCTCATCTGCCAACACTCATTGGATGGGCAGTGCATTCCTGGGGCAGGGCCACCAAAGACCAACATGTGTAGTACCTCATTGCCCAAAGCCCCCCTTTCCCTTGGGAAAGGCCACAGTGTCTCTGCAGGGCCCTCCCAGCTCCTCATCCCCCTGGTCACTATAGCAACACTGTTGGGCAACCCAAGCTGCCTTGCACAGAGCCAGGCCCACTGTTCTCTGCCTGGGCAGCTCATGAGGGAAGGAGCTGGAGGCCAGGATGTACTACTAGGCTTAGTAATGGACTAAATCTGGGGCCTGGCCTTCTCACCCAGCACTGAACACCTGGCCAAGGGGAAACTTCCCATTTCACAGATGGCTCCTCACTTGAGGACCAAAGCATACTTAGACTGGGTTTTGGCTCTTTAGGCTCCCAAACCCCAACCATAAGTCGAGGCATCCACCCACTGTGTCACTAGGTCATGTTCAAGGGAGAGGTGGGGACTGCCTTTCTTGGTCTTGGAGGGTCCCATAGGGATAGGTGGCTTCAGTCCTGGGGTTGCTCACATTCACTTGGCAGCAGCCTCGCCCCAGCACAGCCTGGAGCCCTTTGGCATTTCTAGGGTGCTGAGGGAGCCAACCAACACTCCATCTTCCCAGCAGTGGACAAAGCACCTTTGTGAAGGCCTGCATCTGCTTCCAGCAGGGCCCAGCCCAGAGGCGGCAGGGATGCCAGGGGCCTGATTTGGGAAGGGCAGAGACTTGGGGAGGATCTGAGGGGCCACATCCATGGGGCACAGGCAAAAACTCCAAGCCAGGGGGTGGCAGGAGCTACTATTCATCATGAAGCCTGCAAGCAGTACAGTGCCCGAGGCTGTTCCCCAACATCCAGGAGGCCATAGCTGAGGAGAGGTGCAGAGCAAAGAACAGGGAGAACATGCTGGTCAGATACCTGGTTCCAATGCCACTCTTCCCTGGCATCAGGGGGCCCACCTTGCAACCCCTTTCTTGTGGCACCACCACCGAGTGGGAGCCTTGGGAGCACCTTGGTGTCCATCTTGCCAAGGGCCAAAGGTGGGAAGGAGGCCAGGAAGAGCCACAGCCCTTCACAAAGGCCCTGCCTTGCCTGTTCTCTGCACTCAGCTCACACCCTGCTGACCCTACCTGAAGCAAGCTAAGCTTTCCATTCCTGTCTAGCCATGCCACACAGACATGGACCCACACAGGGACTGCTCCACCTGTGAGCATATTGCCATGTCCTGATAGAGTGGCCTGCCCTAGGGCTACTGTACCTCTACCCCTGCAAGACCACAAGGCACAGGAGGGGCAGGGCGGGAGTAGCCCCCTCCCTCTATGGACAGGTGAATGAGGAAGGTGCAAAGATACTGCCTACTCAGATGGCCAAGCACCCACCTGTACTGGAGGGCAAGGGCAGGTTTGCTGGGAGACCTCTCTGGACCCCAAATACTCCTGATTATCTTGGAACGAGGAACAAGCCAGGAATGATGGCATATGCCTGTAATCCTAGCACTTGGGAAACTGAAGCAAAAGGATTGCCATGAGTTGGAGGCCAGCCTGGGCTACATAGTGAGTTCAAGGCCAATCTGAACTGCATAGCAAAGGCCTTGTCTCAAAACAATAAAAACAACAATAACAAAAAACCCAAATATATAGATAGATAGATAGATAGATAGATATAGAGAGAGATAGAGATAGATAGAGAGAGAGAGAGAGAGAGAGAGAGAGAGAGAGAGAGAGAGAGAGAGAGAGAGAAATGGAACAAGAGGCTAGAGAAAAGATTCCAGGCCTCAGAGGATGTGGGGCAAAGCTAACAAAGCTAACAGGCTGGGCCCTGGTGAGAGCACTGAGCTGGACACAGGGCTCAGAGCTCTCTCTTTTCCTCCTGCGAGGGCACCAGAGCAAGAAGGGGTAGGGTCTCAAGTTGGGAAGGGACCCTCCCTAGGAAGAAATGGACTCAGAAAGAGTCAACCATAGGCTCCTGCCTCTAGGGAGAACAGGCGCCATCCCTGGCCATGCAATCTGGACCTGGCCCTATCTATTTGGCTTGTGGGAAGACAAACAGAGAGGAAGGAATGGCACCCCTTGGGTTACCCACTGGGGTGATTGTGGGGGAGCTAACAGGAGCCCTACTCAGAAGCTAGGCCTATCTTCCAAGTTGGGGTAGGGGCATATCCCGTCCAGGCTCCACTTGGGAAGGGGAGGACCCTCACCAGGCCCCAGCCACAGCCCTAATTGAGAAGCTCTGCCTTTAAAGGGTAGGAACATCTCACTCACACTTCAAAGCTCCAAGGGCACTCTGCCCAAACCCCCAAGGTGGAGAGCTGGCCCCTTCAGTGGGCCTCTTCCTGGTCATCCAAGCTCCTGGGCTCCACTCCTGCTCACAGACAGCCTAATAAGGCTGGAAGGTATGGAAGGCTGGGGTGGGGGAGGCAGCTGAGTCACACTGCCCTCCCTAGCCTGGGCCTCCAGCGGCTTCAGCTGCTCCAGTGCAGGTCACCAGCCGCACCCTGCCTGGGAGCCTCCCCAGAAAAGCCTACTTATAATAAGCATGGTACACCACCCCTTCAGCCCCGCCTAGTCACCGCCCTCCTATTTAGGCCTGGCCTGAAGCGTTCTTGTGGGGTTCTTGCTAGCTATAGGCCCATCTGCAGTCCAACCTTCCAGCTCCAAGAATCTCTTGCTGGCTGGCTGCCTCCTGGTCAAACTGCCAGGCCCTGCCTCCCAATGGAAGCCCTTTCTGACTGCCTGTTTTTATTTGCTGTCCCGCAGCTGTCTGCCTTGACCTGTTGACCAGACCCTGCCCACGCATCACTCACCCACATAGAAGGTATTGGGTGCCGGCTTGTTTCCTAGCTCCAAGTAGAGCAGGCTGGTGGTCTGTGGGTCATGGCGCAGCCACAGGGCCACGCCCAGGATCACTCCTCCAGCCAGCTGGGGAAAGAGTAGGAACAGTGTCATGAGTAGCCCACAACATGGTGTAGTGTATAAGCACCCCACTGTGCCGAACATTCTGAGCAGGCAGCTCTAGTCAGGAGGGATGGATCCTCAGTCGGAACCATAGCTGGTTTGTCAGTGTTATCCTCTAGAGGCCAGGGGCCCCTGCCAGCCACTCTGGGATGCAATTCCAGGGCAGATTGCCAGCTCAGATGCAGGGCAGCTCAGATTTACTTCTTTAGTCTAAGTGTATCCCAAATACTGAATGGGACATAATTATACAAAAGACTTTCATTGTTCTCAAGTTCCAGATTGACTAGATGTGCTATGTTTTTATTTGCTAAATCTGGACAGAGGCCACAGCAGGACCTGGGCACCCAGGGAAATTGGACCCTCCTCCAAGGGGGTGAGGTCCTTTGGTGACTGCTAGGGTGTGTGCTGGGAACCCCAAGTTTTTGCTGCCAGGAGAAAGGGTAGAGATCCGATGATGCTGGGGCCCTTATGGGTCTTATGGCATCTAGGGAGCTGCAGGGCATGGCCTATGGTGCCCTGTGAGCAAATCCCTGTCACTGTGGCCCTAGGAAGGGAAAGGCTGACAACAGGTGCCTGCCGTACTCCAGGGAGAGACGTCCACAGTGGGTGGTTTGGGCTCCACAGACAAGGGAGATAGAAGGGATCCTGCTTGGGCTGGCATGCAGGATCCAGGGTCAGACTGAGAGAGGCCCACAACTGGCTCCTGTCCACTAGGCTGGGGACTATTCTACTGGTAGCAGTGGTGCATGGGCTTATCCTTTGCCATTCCTGGTACCTGGCAGGGCACTTTACAGAAACATGGCATCCAGGAGTGACTGAAAACTCTGGATCCTGCCTACCTCTGCCCTCCTCCAATCTAGAACCTCTCATCTGATGCTTTTAGGTACTCTTCAGCAGGGTGGGGGGGGGTTCAGAATAATAGGAATAGGAGATTCAGCCCCCTTTAGATCTTTCTACTGTCCATCTGTCCCTCCCCAGGTGTGACCCATCGCCCCATAGACCCTCCTAAAGTTGAGGTCACTGACTCTGGGATAGGCACCATCTGTCTGGGTCCCTGATAGGGGTGGGGAGGAGTACAGCAACCTAGATAGTTGAGAGGCAGGTGGTCAGGCCTTTATCCTGCTTTCCTGGATGACAGAGACCTGCCCAGCACCATCCCAATATATCAGCTGTGGCTACTCATGGGCAGGGACTGCCTAGGGAGGACAGAAGGGTCAGCCTGGTGTCCCACGAGAAGCCTGCCTGGCTTCCCTGCATCTTGTCAGGCTCTATTTCTCCGACACATGCTCTCACTGAAGACCTTACCCTGTGCGGTTCCTGAAGAAAGTAGCTTGGGGACACAGCCCAACACAGTCTCCGAGGGAGGCACCAAGCCAGGGAGCACCAGGGGCAACAATGTCCCTCCAACCAGGAATGCCCACAATGGACGATCTTCCTGGAGCTTGGTGGGAAGGCCTGGTGCAAAGAAGGTCACTTCTTTGTTTCCTGGCCTCATCCTCCTATGTAAATAGGGGCTGACAGCTCACCCCATGAAAGGAGAAGAGTTGCTGGTCAAATAGGAAGGAGAACTGAAACATGGGCCTGAGTAAAGCACCTGGCGGCTCAGTTCCTACTGCTGTGGACCTGGCTGGGAAGCAGGGCCCTAAGGGGCAGGGGGTGTGCTTAGAAGAGTGTGTAACTGTCCCTAGGAAAGCCCCAAGAAGGGCTGGGGATCCCCCAGGAAGGCTGGTTTAGGTACCCACAGAAGTGGGGTGAAGGAGGAGCTTCGGGTTTCCAAGCCACCTCACCTCACCCTCCAAGTCAGGGCCAAGGTGCTTTCCCCAGAGCAGGAGGCTAGGGCTTTCTCTCCCTGTACCCCTCCCTTGGGCCTGAGCTATAGTTTCGCAGCCCCTCTTCTGTGAGCTGACCCCATTTACAAGATGTTCACCACTGTTTTCACACTCTACTCTGGGGAGGGATGGGTCCTACTTCCCCACTAGCTCCTGGACTGAGGTTCTTCCCTGTTGAGCAAGCAGGGTATGTGTTACAGTCAGTGAGGGCTCACAGTGCACCTGCTGGCTGGCTGAATCAGAAATGCCTGGCAGCTGGGACCCCAAGCGTGCCCCTCATATGACAAGGCCCCTGTGATACCAGGGGTCCTCAGGCTTCTAGGATCCTGTAGAAACAGACAGTGCTCTGTGCTTCTATGCCTGTCACACACTCAAGAGGGCAGGGAGCGCCTGGGACAGTGCAGGGGAGGCAGGACAGTGAGAGATGGTGGGTGGCCCAAGGGAGCTGTGTTGAGCTCCTCTTCAGCTGGCTGCCATCTGCGGCTCGAGCAGAAGAGGTGACTGGCTGAGTTGCCCTGGTAACTCTGGCTTCCTCTGTGGCTTTGAAAACGTCATGTATTTTGTTTGGAAACTAGTCCAGAAGTTGCTCTGAAAGATGTTCCAAGCTGGAGGGGATAGCAGACAGGGAAGTCCTCCCCTGTCACATTCTCAGTGGTCACAGAGAGCTAGTTGCAAACCCTGACATAGTCATGAAAGGCAACTGTAAGGCTGCCACCTTCCTGTGCCTCAGTATCCCCACCTGTGAAAAAGCTGAGCATGCCCAGTGTTGGCTCAAGGGCTGCTCTGTTGTGCTGACCCTGGCTGGGCAGGGATTGCCCTCACCCTTTCTGTGCAGCCTCCCATGGGTGAAGCTGGGCACAGCACCCTCTCACAGCAATGCTTTCCTCATAGAAACCTGTAGGAGGGCAATGCTCAGGCCACCCCCAATGACCCAGTAGCCACTTCCTGCTCTGGGAAGGAGGCTTTCTGGGCAGATTCTAGTGTGGCATGGAAAAGCTGTCTCCAGATGAGCCTCTGAACCCCAGTTTTCCTGCCCAGTGATAACAAGGGGTCTGGCCTGGCTTAGAGGGCAGGGGAGAGCCTGACCTAAAAATATAGAGGCCTTGAAACCTTCAGTCAGAAAAACAATGGGGTGGGGAGGGGGGAGGTGAGGAAGGTAAGAGTTGGGACAGGGGTTGCCTACCTCACTGTCCCAAGGGTACTTTCTATTCCACAAGCCCCTAAGGGTAACCAGAAGCCTTTCTGGTGAGAGAGGGGACGATCAAGATTGCCTGGCACTGGGTTGGCTGCTGCACCCAGATCTCCATCCTAGCTCTTGTCCAGACCTAGGGGGTGGGGCCTTGAGTTGAAGCCATGAAAACAGTGAGGAAACTGAGGCAGTGGGGAGGAGAAAATTCCTCTAAGGCCACCTACATATGCCTCCATCTCTGAAATTGTACCTATCAGAGGCCAAGATAGCAGAGCTAGAGGTCTCCAAGGAGCCAAAAACCTGAAAGAAATCTGCTCTTCAGCCACAGGCTGGAACTGGAAAATGTCTAATAAAGGACTCATGGCCAAATATACCAGGAGCTCCCGAAGTTCAACGGTAGGAAAGCCAGACACCCAAGATATAAAAGTTGCCCAAAAGACAAAAAGGCACCCCACCTAGAATACAGAGGGCACCTAAGCACTGGAAAGGTGGCTGCCCTCCATCTGGACTACCACACAAGAGCCACAGCCAGATCCCAGCCCACCACTCCACTGGCTGAACCTGAGAGGACCTGCCTTCCAAGGCAGCTTGACACTTTCTGTACCTGTCACAGCCTTGAGAAGGTAGGGAAGGCCCAGGACAGTGCAGAGGAGGCAGGAGAGTGGGAGTTGGCAGGTGACCCCAGGGAGCAAGCAAGTTCTGATGAAGTGTGATACAGCTATTGCTGGGGTTAACCCTATACTTCCTCTATACCCCAGGGATCCACCCCAGGTATTCACCCAAGTGAAATGAACACAGGCTTATGCAAGACTCATGGACCAGTGTTTCCAGTGACTTTGTTTTTAAAAATCTGAAGAATCTGTGTGCCTGCTGATGGGTCACTGAATGGGCCTGGGGGGTCCATCCTGTGGTGGAAACTGCTTCAGTGAAAAAGCAGGGACATACACAGACACAGCCCTAACCAAACATGCTAGGAAAAGAAGAGCTCACACCTTCTGCCTCCATTTACGTGATTATAGGAGAAATGTGAGAATGTACTGAGATGGCCCAGTGGTCCCGGAGAAGAGGAGCAGGAGGGATTACAAAGGGCCCACAGAATAGGAGTATAAATGTGTCAAAACTTACTATGCTGTCCACTTTGAATGTGTGTGTGGGTATGAGCTTGTACACTGTAGGTTAATCACTTCTAAATAAAGCTATGGGAAAACCCCACACCCCTAGTTCCTGGAGGCTTTAATGCAAAGGGGAAAGGGGCCCAGCTGCTATGCTGGTGCAGTGTACTCCCATGTAGGAGCTAGGGTCCCTGGTAGCCAGCAGCAAATTTCTGGACACACTGGTGTCCTGTGCACAGACCCGAAGTTCTAGTGTAAACCAAAGTCAGGGGTTGCAATCGCTAAGGAACATGTATGCCAATTAAACAAAGAGTCAGCCCAGTATCTGGGGAAAATGAAAGTGAAGGTGCTGGATGGAGGCCCAGGCACCAAGGCCAAAGGTGGCCAAGCCCCTGAATGCTGGGTTATGTTTAAGCTGGCCCACTTCCGGTGAATCTCAGCCTCCATTGCTTCCAGTATCCTCCTTTGTAAGATGAAATAAAGGTAAAGAAGCTAACATACACAGGCTGCTACACAGGAAGCCATGTCCAGCTCTTGACAGCAGGGACATTATATCTTTTAGAGACCAGATTCTGGGATTTCTTCATTCCTCTCTTTCCAGACAGAACCATACACTTGGGCTCACCAGACACTTCTCTGTTCAAAGCTCTCCCGCAGAAAGCAGCTCTGGCCACCTGCTCCTGAATCCTAAGATACTCCCATGTCCTAAGGCACTACCTTGTCTTGTGATACTCCTGCTCCAGGATGAGGGGATAGAGAAAAAGGCTTTAGGTAGTGTGTCGGGGTTCCTAGAGGGCTCCATGCAAGGAAACAGAAGAGTATTCATAACTCTACAAGGGATTCTGCTTCTTCTTCCTTCCTGGGAATTAATAAATA